GAAGCACGGGATAGAGTGGACAGCTGGAATGCAGCTGCACGATCTAGACTTCGCAGATGATCTGGCTCTGAATAATTTATATTCTTTACGATGAATATTGCCAGCAACCATGACGTCTCTGACTGAGTTGTCTAATAAGTTGTACAGCGAAATGTCGGAAACTTTTCACAAACACACGTGAATAGGTTATGAGACTAATAGGCATAATGATGTGTTAAAACAAACATAAAAATAGATAACCTGTTGAAATATCGAGATGGCACGAATTGGGTAGCAAAACTATTCAAGCAGGCCTCCTTATCATTTCATCTGACTGGAATGTTTCACAATATGTAAAACGTTGAAGTTATTCTTAATATATTTTGAAATGTTTAGATGAGTATCATTTCATGCTTGTAATTCTTGAATCTATTCTTGTGCAATAACATTTCCGACTGATCTAATATTCCCCATCCTACGTTCATTATTCCGTTGATTTCCTATCACTGTGCTTATCTAAGCTGTTGCAACATTGGTTGACTCTCATTCGTGCAACTTTCTACGTCAATGATCACCGAATTACTAGCTTGAATTTCACACTAAGAAGACGTGAAGCATAAAGTGTGAGGGTCATAAATGTTTAATTAATAATGAGTAGTTTGTTAAATATTATCTAATAAAAGTTGATTGAGTGGTAATCTGTGTGCATCACTGAGTCGCCATTAGTATCGTGATTATTAACTTCAGTAATGCTAGTGTTGCATTTAATTTTGTTAAAATTGGTTGACGGTTACTCATCTTGTCACGTTTGTCTTATCATTTTACATTATGTTATGTATTTCAATCGAAGCTATTGTATTAAAAACCCAAACTGATGGATGGTACTTGAATGATATTTCAGATCCCAACAAAATCACCAACATTTTATCTTATTTAAAGTAAGCATCCATGTAATCCCGTGGAAGTATGTCACTTAATTAAACATCACTGATCAGCCTCAAGTAATAGAAAAACAGAACTACTAGTGCTGAACATCATACTTGCAAAGAGAACACAGGTCCTTTGATTTATTCATTTTACATTAAAGAAAATTCTTATGATTTTTGGAGATTTTTGTTTTGCTTCATAAAAACTCAGTGTTTACTTCCATTTTGATAACAGGTTGAGTTTGAGTAAGACTATTTCGTTTATACAAATAAATTGTTTTGTTCATGGAAAACTTTATTCCAACAAAAGATAAAATAAATTTGCCTTGGCAATAAAAGTACAAATACATCTGTTTCAAACGAACTATAATCCACTGACATTTCAAATCTTACTACTCAATAATAGTTTAATAACTGGCCAATTGACCAACATATTATTTATGGGAGTATTGTTTATATCATATATATTTATATATGCTTCCTGTGAATTTAAGATTTAAATGCAAAACTTGAAAGATGTTTAGTAGATTTCCATAATTTAAATGACCAATTAATCTCAACCACACCATCATTGATAATAAGAAAGGATTGGATAGACTTCTCGTATTGAACTCCTCAGCAGTGAGAACCCACGATGCTGTCGAGGATCGAGCACAAAGCATTCAGTCTTGCACGCCAATCCTCAACGTCCAGATCACTGAGCAGCAATATCATGGTGTACGTGTTTTACTTCAATCACTTTGCGATATTGTGCGACTAGATATCATCGTCTTTGATGAGTAACTACTTCAAGTCGAACTTCACTACTCACGGCTTTTCACTAAAACTCTTAGTGAAGGCTACACACCAAAGATAATGAAATATACATATCACCGCTTTTCGCGAACAACCCTTCAAATTAGAACTCTCCTCTATGTAGACGGTTTATTCGTCACAATTTTAGCTTCTTTTTAGATAAAGTCAGCGTGAGCATTGTATTCCAGGAATTCATTGGAATCTCTCCACAGACGGCTAATAGATTATCCTCTTGACATGATGTATGATTTTATATTACTAGTAATCGTATTGACATTGCAGGAACACAAATTCTAACAGTTTATACTCCTGATCTAATCTCTTAACTTGCAGCTGTTTGTCATTTTCATCACCAGCTAGAATAGTTGGTCCATCTAAATAAATCCAATTAGCTCTGAATAAACTCATTTTCAATTCTTTAAAACATAACCTAATCTTCTTTATATTTATGTGTATAAAATACCTCAACATCATTGTAACACCTTTACATCGACCAAGAATTTCAGTTACACCATGCCAATCACATCAACAAATATGTTTTAAAAGTAAAATTTTTGAACAAATATACTAATTAGTTCAGTTTAAATAATGCAAATAATGAGCTAATTAGTAGATGTGTTCAGAAATTTTATTTTAAAACATATTTGTAGATCTTATGTATATGGTATGACCTGATAACTTCCAATAAATTGAACATTGAATTGATTATTTTTAATAAAAATAACATATTTGTAATATTGAAAAAAATTGTCTATGATAAACAAATTTTAGTTTACACGTTTCTGACGTTTTCGAAGTGGTATAAAGTGTACAATAGAGGTAGTTTGTGTCCGAATTGTGATAACCAGCATTTATAGCATACTAGGAGATGAAATAATTTATTGAAGTAATAATGTTTGATAAAGGCACATGACTAGTGTACTGGTGAACTTACGTTTGCATGTGGTATTCGTAAGCGTGTATTTCCAATTTAATTGGTGTAACGTCAGTGTTTGAGATGAAACATGTTTTTAAAAACTTGTCTTCATGTACCTAGAGAACTCATTGTGACCTGCTCAACAATCATAACATCCCCTAACTGTATAATATCAGTTTGACCAACACAAACTTTTCAGATCACCCTTCAAGACCTATCCAAAATTCAGGGAGTTGGCGGAGTAATTTGATGTAGCTCAGTTTCCTGTGTTCTTTCTGTAGCTACTTAATTTAATTGTTTACGAATAGAACAGCTATTATGTCATAGCTATTTGAATTAGTTGACTCCAAGCTTATCATTAGTATGAACTATATTGAGTTTCATTTATGTATGAGTAAGCAATTCTGAAACCATTTAAAATGTATTCCAATATACAGTATATATAATTGAGGAATTCTTCCTGATCATATGTATTCACTTACATTTGTTATTTTAGTCTGGTCAATTAAATATTATCATTAGCTCTAACTTATTCAGCATAACTCAGAACATGTGTTGGTTGCTAACTAATCAACTATTAAGCTTAGTGATTCTCACTGTATTTTGTAAGATACCTATACAAGTAATATTGTGCTTGCGCTACTGTTTTGTTTGATTTCACTGTCCTGTATGCTTCGTGACATCAGGTAAAGCATAAGATTAGGCTTTGAAGTAAGAAACTCCGTAATCTAATTGTAATCAATATAATCTGTATTGATATACATTCAATTTATTAGCAATGTTCGGGTTAGTCATTGAATAACGATCGGATTCAGTCAAATATCATTGGATTGTTCGGTTCAAGAACAAATTAATTTAAGGTAAGGAACCTAATTCATAACGTTTATCTTTGTAGGTGTACAAATCATTGTTTTGTTTAATTTCAACGATAAATGAATATATTTTGCTTGATATCATAGTAAAGCACAATTATATGAACGAAGAATATTCATTTCAGTAATTTCTTATCAGGCCCTACAATTATATATCCAAATTAATAACCCATAAAATTGGTCAGATTTAGTGCAGAGTACACCATTTAAAATCATACCATGTGAATTAAGGATTGTTTGGAATAGAAAATGAAGTCAAATCGATAATGTTCAGGTGACTAATATGAAGTGTTAGCTTGAATCAGTTTATAAGTGAAATGAAATTGTGAGATAAGTGATCGGAATAAATATGGTGAACATGGGATGAGAGAGATAATCATGTAATTACAAAACAGAAATTGTGTAATATATAGAGTAATACGAATTAGGCACAAATTAGTGGACTGTGATGGATGCTGAATAAATTTCTCAAAATGAGTAGCAAGTATTTCGGGTAGAACTAACTAGATATAACTATGTCAAGACAACAATGCAGTGTTCCACCAATCGAATCACTCTTGAGAGGGATTATTTGGAGGATGTAAAGACCGTTGCATATCTGTGCAGCATGATTCATGAATACGGTAGATCTGATACAGATGTGAAGGTGCGGATCGGCAAAGCAAGAGCAGCATCTCCACAGTTGAGGAACATGTGAAACTCAAAATAATAGTCAACTAACAACAAGGTCAGAATTTTCAATACAAATGTCAAAACAGTTCTACTGTATGGGATGGAAACGGGGAGAACCATGGAAGCCGTCACCCACAAGATACAGGTGTTTATTAACAATTGTCTACGAAAAATACTTCGGATACGTTGGCCAAACACTCAGCAACAACCTACTGTGGGAGAGCACAAACCGGATCTCAGCGGAGTAGGAAATCAGAAAGAAGCGCTGGAAGTGGATAGGACACGCATTGAGGAAAGCACCCAATTGTGTCGCAAGACAACCCCTCACATGGAATCCTCAATGCTAAAGGAGGAGAGGAAGAGCAGAGAACACATTACGCAGAGAAGTGGAGACAGACATGCAAAGAATGAACAAAAATTGAATAGAACTGGAAATGCTAGCCCAGGACAGAGTGGGTTGTAGAATGCTGATCAGCGACCTATGCTCAATTGAGAATAACAAACGTAAGTACGTAAGTAGCATTGAAAAGACGAATGGAATAAATTCAAGTCATATTGATTTCGTTCCATAACTCTTCCATAATTAAACATTTTTCTTTCTTTTAATTTATGAGATTCAAGTTAATATATCCATTAAAAGATAACTAAAACAATTTTCATTTGTTTACTATTTATACTGATTTCAATTTAGGCCAATGAAATAAATCCTCCTTTTCTTTGTTTTAATTATCAAAGAATAAACAAATTGTTCCTTATAAACTTGAATAAAACTTTTTTTTTCCATTTTATTCGTTTAACATGAAATCTCTATTCATTATTTTGTTCATATCGTATTATGTCATGAAGAAATATTCTAATTGTTCATCAATGATTTCTTCATATCCTTCAAATCCTACTGAAATTAGTATAAATCATAATTTAAAAATTTTAACTAAAACAAATAATTTTTGTAAAGCAAATCAATTATGTTCGGATGATGGGAAAATAACCAATCGAATTTCTAAACTTATTGGACAAAATTTTATGTTTGCTATAGAATATTTCCCAAATCATTCATTTTGGATTAAAATAAATCAAGTGAATATTTCACAGATAAAGAATTCTAATTTAGTAAATAATTGGATAGATGAAAATTCTAAATTATATTTAATGCATGAATTAGAATCAAATTTCCCTTCTTATAAAAATCAATCTATGTATGATGGTAAATATACTGCATATTATAATCATTTAGATAATAAAATACAAACTACTTTATTAAATAGAACTAATGAAATTGATGTAATTTGTGAAATAGAAAAAAATACAAATCATGATCAAAATCATTTTATTCAACTAAAACGATTTCGAAAGTGTTTGAATGTAAATACTGAAGTGTTATTTTCACCAAATAAAGATTTTGATGGCTGTTATTCACAAAATATTATGCCAAGTTTACAATATTGTGCTTACAGGTTAGTTTGAAATTTTCTATCTGTTGAATCATTTCATCTTAAATATTGATTATCAAACTAGCAGTTATATTTTCTGAGAAAAATAATATTCCCTCTATCTGCTGAAGCAGATATTCTAAACTCAATTAGCAGAAAAGTGATAGTCATCATTATTTCAAATTCTTTGATTATGAAATTAATTATTGCCAGGATAGCGTTCCTGTCTAATGAAGGTTTCAATACAAATACAATAATTATCGAACGTAGATAAACGGCTAATTTCTTTATGCTTAAGTAGTAGTGCATACAGAGATTTATAAATTACATCCTGAGAATGTGTTAAATTACTCCACAAAATACCATAATAAACTTGGTAAAAATCAAATTATAATTGTACAATTGATTGATAAATGAGGTATAACGAATATCATGTGTGTTAGGTCTTTTTTAGTGCAGATCAAATTCTATCAACCAAGTTGCGATATGTCCAGTAGTCTAGGTGACCCAACATCGCGTGCATTATGCTGAGATGTAAGCTGGTGGTTAAAGATAGTCTTATAATTGCATTATTGTGACTAGTTCAGTTATACACAGTGATGATAATGTTGCTGCTAATTCTCACTGATCAACCTTAGAAATCTGTAATTTGTAATTACAGTTAGTCAAACTCCAAAACCTGACACATTTAACCAACTCAGCATATGCTGAAGACATTAAACACATCAAATTGAGAACACATGGAAGTGAAACTGATTGATGTGATAACATCCATTATACGGTACATGAAGAACACTGAAGTCAGAAATAGAAAGCTGTGGTGTTGATAAATCTTCTAACCGGACGCTTGAATCGGTTTCCAAACCTCTTCTAATAACCCCAGGCTGAATCTACACGACATGAATACGAGTGAAAAGGCACGAAATGTGGAAAGAGCACTTTACTCTAATGTTAGTTTATCTACACAAAATTGAAAGTATTTATACCATTCCAGATGGCCTCGAGTTTCTGAAAGGCTCTGGAACCCTAATAAACTCAGTAGCAGGATAGCTAATTAAACCAATCGACAAAGTGACAGGTGGCTCTTCACTTACTAGATGTTTCTGAAAAACTATCTAATTCTAATTGGATAAAATGTTACCCGGAGTTTTCAGGGACCCTGTGAACTTTTTTTTGATGAATACTCTGGATCTTCCAAATAAGTATGTATGATAAATTGCTTTTAATAGTGTTTTACTCAATTTTCCACTCTACGTCAACTTCATTGACTACGAAAAGGCATTTGATAGCGTGGACAGAGCAACACTATGGAAGCTTCTTCGATACTACAGCGTGCCTCAGAAGATAGTCAATATCATACAGAATTCGTATGATGCATTAAACTGAGAAATCGTGCATGGAGGAAAATTGACAGAGTCTTTCGAAGTAAAGACCGGTGTCAGGCAAGTTTGCTTACTCTCACCCTTTCTCTTTCTCCTGGTGATCGACTGGATCATGAAGACATCAACATCTGAAGGGAAGACATAGTGGACATCTCGGATGCAGTTGGACGATCTAGACTTCGCAGATGATCTGGCCCTTCTATCCCAAACGCAACAACAAATGCAGGAGAAGACGATCAATGTAGCAGCAGCGTCAGCAGCAGCAGTAGGTCTCAATATACACAAAGGGAAAAGCAAGATTCTCCGATACAACACAATACACACCAATCAAATTACACTTGACGGAGAAGATTTGGAAGATGTAAAAACCGTTACATATCTGGGCAGCATGATTCATGAATACGGTAGATCTGATACAGATGTGAAGGTGCGGATCGGCAAAGCAAGAGCAGCATCTCCACAGTTGAGGCACATGTGAAACTCAAAATAATAGTCAACTAACAACAAGGTCAGAATTTTCAATACAAATGTCAAAACAGTTCTACTGTATGGGATGGAAACGGGGAGAACCATGGAAGCCGTCACCCACAAGATGCAGGTGTTTATTAACAATTGTCTACGAAAAATACTTCGGATCCGTTGGCCAAACACTCAGCAACAACCTACTGTGGGAGAGCACAAACCGGATCTCAGCGGAGTAGGAAATCAGAAATAAGCGCTGGAAGTGGATAGGACACGCATTGAGGAAAGCACCCAATTGTGTCGCAAGACAACCCCTCACATGGAATCCTCAATGCTAAAGGAGGAGAGGAAGAGCAGAGAACACATTACGCAGAGAAGTGGAGACAGACATGCAAAGAATGAACAAAAATTGAATAGAACTGGAAATGCTGGCCCAGGACTGAGTGGGTTGTAGAATGCTGATCAGCGACCTATGCTCCATTGGGAGTAACAGGCGTAAGTAAGTAAGTTACTCAATTTTCCAGGGAATATTTTGATTCGGGAAATAGACGCTTTATACTTTAAGAAAACTTTGTGAGAGGGATATTTGCTCAAAGTATTCATGGTGCTTCGAATATTTATTAGTGACATTAAAGATGAACTGAATTATGCATATTTACTAACAATGAAGGAATGACAATTTTTCTCCTATGAAAATATAGAAAAAATTGCTGAAACTATAATTTAATCCATCTTGCATATAACTCGTACAATATTAGAGTTAATACCACCTAATTTGTGATATATAACCTAGGATAGGGAATACTTCAATAAGGAAGTTAATTCTTATTTTAAAAAATTCAGAATTTTCTCAACACTAATTCTCAAATTCACTTGGCATTGTTTTGCTTGTATCTTCCCATTGAGGTTTAAGACTGTAATTGGTCAGTCTGTTATTGGCATTTGTGCATACTGTGCGTATGCCTCGATATTGCCTTAATTCACAAGCTTTTTGTAAGCAGTGATGGATAGTGGGTAGCATTGGAATCCAGGAAGCGCGTTTCGTCCTATTTGAGACTCGTCACCTTTAATTCTCACTTTATATTTACTTTAAGCATTCACATATGAATGGCTACTTCTTTTAAAATATTATTCATTGGTTATGAATGGAGTGAATGATAAGAATCCAAGAAAACTAAATTAAACATAGACAACCTAATTGATTTTATTTTCAAAAGTTTAAAATTATTTCACCTACTTACTACTAAGTAGTATGTAGATTTTCGTATTAAATTCAATGAATCAAGTAAATTTGTTTCGTTTTTTTTCATTTTAGTTGTGCAACGGATGAATACTGTACACGTTTCTATTATAATAATTTAACAAAGGATTGCATTATTGCACAATATATCGTATCTCTAATTCCAACTTATGCAAACAGAACAAACGGATGGGATTGTTATTCATTGAATTGATCTGTTTATTTCAAGAATTATATAATATTTCTTGAATATACTTAACATTTGATGAATTACACTTAGTAACAAGATTATACTGTAATTTCCAATGATATTTTTAAGACATTCCAATGATTATCCTGATCAATATTTAAATGACTAACTAATGTACATTGAAATTTTCAGTGTTTACGAATTTTCTGAAAATATGTAGCATTTAATAAATAAAATTAAAAAACAAAAAAGAAACATGAACATTTCATGTTGATTAAAGTTATAAATGATATTACCATTTGTACATTTTATTGGCACAATTAATCAATAACAAAGTGATTTACAGTTTGAGAAGTTTAGTACTTTCAATAGTAAACGAACGATTCAAATCTAATAAGCGAATGATTTAACCCGTTCAAAAATCTATAGAGCCTTAGTTTATTGAAATCTATCAACAGAAAATCATACAATTAAATCTTATTCATATTAATGTACATTGAAAAGTCCATTTGAAACTTAATTAATTAAACATAAGATTCCAATAAGTTAGTTTCATTTAAAGTTGATTTATCTCTGATTAGAATTTTGTAATAATTTAGCCATGTATTATATTCTAGACACTATTCATGATGAATTAAAACATAATTTGATTATAGAGTAAATTAATCAGTTTTATTCACTGACGAATTGTGAGGATGGCCTAAGGATGAAGTCGACGAAACTTTGCATCGAATCACTTTTTGAAAGAACATCCAAGAATCTCGGTATGTAGATTCCCTATTGGACAAATGCTAAAGATCACTGTATGCGGATTGGATGACTATGATTATGATTTTGGTTTTACTAAAAACTATAAATACCTGAGAGTTTTATATCATATTTGACACTGATTAGAATAGAATTCCTTCTCATTGGCGACTTGGAGGGTTCTAGCGTTTGAGTGTTCATGTTGTACGCGGTATATCAAGACTCTAAGCTCTAGAGATAACATAAATAATACAAAATAATTAAAATATATCTTCTTTAGTCTTTATATTGAAAGTATCAATGAACATAAGAAATTTAGTTTTAAACTTTCTTGATCCATACGTCAAACAAAAAAGTAGTACTGTGCATTTTTTGTTTCCCTTCAAGTTATATACGTGTTTTGTGTCACTAGTTCGTAATTTTGTTCAGAAACCTATCAGTATGAATTAAAAGAATAAAGTTATTTAAACACAAAACTGGAAGTACAATTTAATTGTTATAACTTGTGACCGGTGCGGCCTGTTAATGTATACGTATTGATACCACCAATTAGAGAGCAGTGAAATATCGATCGGACCAATGACGCGTAAAACCCGTATGAGCAGTCTAGAGTCCTGATTGGTCCTGCTTTCCGCCTAGCTCAGCCAGTTATGTCCAGAACACCAATCCGACCCTCTGCGATATGAATCCTTTATTTCAAACATACTAGCTTTATATACCAACCAGACAGACCACACCGTACCATAAAGTATGAAACAACATTTGTGCACGAGTTAGCCAAATGTGACTGTGAATAAGGGAGGTAGTGATTAATAGACAGGGAATAATTCAAGAATGGTGAATCGTATAATAATATCTCGTAGGTCATCATAAAGCTCATAATAAGAGAGACATGAATATGTATAGTTTAGTTACATAACAATTATACGATAAAATATATGTATAGGATTGGTCCACAAATGGATCCCAAAGTTACCATTCATTATGCTTATCGGGACATGACATTAACATCCCGACATATCATAGATTCATGTGTCGTTTAAAATTTTTATAAACTGGAAATTTGAACGATCCAATCAACTACTGACAATAAGAGTTAGTAAATAGGTGTGAAATATTTTTCTCAGTTATGTTAATTTATATAAATTTTAATGAAAATCTGATATAACTTAAAAGTATTGAGCCTTATCCATGTGTTGTAACTTCTTGATCCATTATTATTTTGTCGAGGATGTTAGATCCCTAGAAATTTGAATTTTATGTTTTCACACCAAGAAACGCTTAGTTGACATACAGCTTACACTTCGCACTCGGAAATCCTTGGCTGTCATTGGTTGATGGAATATTTTTTATTACGCTATTTTGTGTCTCTCCCAAGGGTGTTTCTATCATTGTATAAACAAGCTTGATTTGTATGCTTAGTGACCTCGTATTTTCTGGGTGCTTGTAGAATACATTCTCTACGCCTCATCAAGACTTATTGGTCTAGTTAGGAGTGCCGAGGACAACGGATTAGAATAGCCTGTCGTGTCACTGTATCTTTGACCTTCGTTCCGTTTACCGAGTAAGGTGAACCCGCAATAGTATCTAAGCATATCATATTTATTTATTGATAAAACAATTACGACAGCGATTTGAAGGTTATGACTTAATAAACAAAACATTTGTAAATGATTTTAGTCATGTTTAATCACATATTTTCAGAAAAATGTTTATGTGGCACAGTTATGACAATAGTTTACCAAAATAATGATGAACTGTTTGTTAATATGTACCGAATATTAGCTACTCAAGTATTTATCTAAAGAGTAAATAAAAATTTGACATCAATTCAAATAGGGTTGTACATAATAAACAGAATGGTGATAATGCACATTATTCGTAGATTTGATCATTTAATGATAATCATTAGAATACATTTAAAACTACTGACATTATATAAATCCGATATCAGTCTTATTCCAAATTCTCTGAAGTGTTTTATTCGGTAAATTAAATCCAGTGTACATCTGTCTCGGTTGTTCCTACTGCTTCACAATAGACCGTCTCTTATTTCTACCTTAATTTATCATTGTCATACCCCAGTCATTTGTTAAAAGACAGGCACCATGAGATTGCAAAAGTAACTCTATATCCCCATTCTACTCATGACACATCATTTGATCATATAAACGTATAGACTTAAAGTACTAAAAACTAACAGTTGATACTCTTTAGTACAAATATATCATCGCCTAGTTAATACAATTTATATTTTTAAATTAAGAAGTTTCATGAATACTTCAATGTTTAACAACTTATCATTCACTATTCGATATTAATTTATTACAAACTGCCATACATATAGCAACAATACACAGATAACACTAATTTACTATTCATATTAATGAGAATCTAGCTAGATACTGTGTATTATTGTCCCATACTCAACAAAGATATCATTTATTACCATTTCATCAACGTAGTAAAATTTAGCTGAAGTGACGACTAGATTGTTGGATAAATCATGCGACTGGTAAAATCTCTTGACCTTGAGATAAGGATTAGATACTGAAGTCAGTAAAACAACTGAATGAACATTAGAGTACTTTCATCAAAATACAGAGACTGGTATTTTTCTTGAGCTTCAGATATCACTATCACTTTGACTACACTTTAAACAAAATATAATTTTCTCTAATTTACTTTCATTCATAAACTCGTCAGCTAATTATTACTGGATTACTATGGCCAACAAAGCCATCGAGCTTGATATGACGCATTCATTGAGCGCTTAGTCGCAGATCCCAATAAGAGAAACAAACTGAAAGGTTTTAAGTCCAACATTATAATGTATAAGTTCAAATTGTCAGAAACAAAACAAAATATTAAAGTGAGTTCAAAAAATCAGCGAATAGAGAAAATGAGAGCATGAAAATACAAAACACTCAATGTTCAGAGGTGGATCAAATGTATCTATATCACTGTGATTTATTGTAACTTTTCCCAACTAATAACACTGACCACTGATTCCAAACATATGTCAAGACCAAGTAATTTAGAGTTGCGTAAATGAATCAAACCACTATTCACTGGCTCTACGTACCAGTATTATATTGTGCATAATATTGTGACTTCTCATTCACTTCCACCTCGAAATAGATATTTAACGATTCACTATATATAAAACATGTCTCACTGGCTCTAATTTATAACGATAGACAACCAAAACCTGCTTTTCTATAACTCACCATTCAATATCATAATTTACAGCTGCAAAAATTCTCTAGTTACGAGTAATTATTCAATCACTAGCTTGTGAACATCGTTTGCCTTGAAAATTGTTTATGCAGTTCTAAATTTGAATGTGAAGGCTTTTATTTCTTTAATTCATGTGGCATTCTCATTATTTCATTTTGAGCGAGATATCTTTGACTATGGATCACATTCAGCTTAGCATTACTAATGTTACAGTCTGCGGTCGGTTCAGTCAGTATCCACGCTTCTAATTCTTTGCAAACAGGATTAGAAGAAAAAAATGGGAGAAACCACATAGGGCGCTATATTTTGAAAAGCGGAATTGAACTACTAACAACTTATTTGTGACTATAGGTGACCAGACTGATGTTTGGTTTCGTACGATAACATACCAAACGAATTTTAACTGGGTGTTATTTTATGATGTGCCTAAACATAATAAATTGTGCTCGAAATATGGTTCACCAAACAACTATATTTCAACATTTGTCATAAGCATACTACTATCCCAGTAAATATTTAGGATGAATTTGAGACTAAGGTAGAATAATACCTGCTTTCGAAAAGGTATTGTGGAGCCTTTAAAAAATCAAATTGTAAGTTGAAAGTTCATTATGTGTATCAGCATAATTTTACAGCACTAGAAACATCCTATATATTCTTTAAACAGACATAACCGTGTTATCAGTTATTTTCCTAAATATACTATACCGCATTACTTCGTTATTCAAATAAGTGAACTGGGTAAAAAAAATACGTGTTTCACTCTTTGTATAACTAGAATACGACGGAAAGCATATGCGAGTTCCTTCGAAATGGTTTATACAGTACTTACTTGACCTTAAAACTTAACAGATTAAATAACGAGTGAAATAAAGTGTAAGTTCAGGGACGTGGAGAATTTATACAAGTGGGTAAAAACTAGAGCTTACAGTTGGACTGTCAAATTCAGTGGATTGGAAACTCCAGATTCCGGTGGCAGTTATTAACAAGGTGGAGAGAACAGATGTTTCCTCCTAGGTTTAGAATAGTATTATTCGTCCCTGTTGTTATAAAACAAATCTTCGAGTTATTTAGGTAGACTTATATTTTATAGAAAAAGTACTATCGAACACAAAGTTACATTTTATAATTGGGATTACATTGTATCACTTGACTAATATATTTCGCTTAGTCTTCAATAATAAAATACCATACTACCGGTTGAATTAAGCGATTTCTCGGGACATCAGTAATGTAGAACATAATTCCCGTTTACCAACGAACAAATATCATACGGTAAATGATTACATCAAATAATAGAAAATAAATGAAAGATAATTTGGAAGTGATCCTTCAACTAATACGTCAGAAATGATTGCTCACGATTTCACAATACCAATATCTACGACCAATGAGATGAACTGCACTATCAGTAAAGGCATATACTATGGAATGGTATTGAAAACATAACAAGAGCCATCATCAATTACAAGATGTCTATGAACAGATTACAATGAAGAGATGCAACGGTAATAAATGATTTAAAACTTGGCATTTTCCAATAAATCAGAAAACAAAACAAAATAGTTTTATTAAACAAATAGTAGACCAGAATTTATAAAAATCTGTGTATATGTGGTCTTCACACATTGCTTCTTTAAAATGACTTTAAATTTCATCAAGTTTTCAAACAGATTATGATGTGGACGAAATATTTCATTGAAAGTTCACTAGAAAAATCGTACACCGAAACCTTATTAATTAAATATTTAGAAGCCTTTATGTGGCTATAAATAACACCATACCAAGTCTCGTACAAGGGATAAGTTAAATAAATTAAGTGATTCATATACATTGTGTTGTTTGAAGAAATCAATCAGAATTCTCGTATGAAATGGGTAGAAATAGAAAATCATAGTTGAAATATTCTAAAATAAAGTATAGAAATTACGATTTTCAGTAGAATTTGTCAAATTTTTCTCTATGGTCAACAATGAATATTGATGAACTTTGTTCGAATATCTCCAAGTTAAAGAAAATATTTCATAGTGAATAGTCAGATTATTTGATGAAAGTACACGATTTGTTTTACTTCAGGCTCTTGAAATAGAATATACTCAAATCTGTGTTGTGTTCACTACTGAAAATTCAATTAGTCATCCGTTAATTCAAAAATCAAACTAATAAATTACGAGTCTTTTTCTTATTTAGTGGAAAATTATTAGCAGAACACTTTATATTTCCCTTGAACAACTAGCCGAGCATCAATTTTATGAATTTGAATGCTTTGGTACTGCTACTTCACCAAATAATACATTTTTCTCAAAAACCAAACAAGAATTTAAATACTTTATTATAATTAGAATACAATTTTTATCAGAAACACTCATCTCTTTAAAAGTATTATTGTCAGATATTTGGGGTCTCATTGTTGCTCTCATGTTTACATAGTTCAGTAGAATCAACGATAGATGATAAGATGAACAAAGGAATATCAAATGTCTCGTCATTCAAAAGAACCAGATCGTATAATGAACTGAATAATTCCACTTTCTCGTCATTCTGTGAACACAAATAAATAGTAAATTGAATAATCCATAATATACAAAGAATGGATTGAAAAAAATAGTCATTCACATAGAATACATTAAATAAATTAAAATTTTATCCTTTAATTTAAAGAGATATGCGCATTCTAAGGTAATGGTTTACCAACATCAGGAAGCCCAAATAGTTATATTTTCGACTCAGTCCAATTACAGTATATATATATCATAGTAAACTCTGCCAATTACTAGTGACTAATTTACATGGAGTGAATGCTTTATTTTGAAATGTGTAAAGGGCACTACCGCTTAACGAACTAAAAGCACATTCAACGGAAGAGTTCTATATGGAATATAATGCTTTTAATTACAAACACTATTACCATAAATAACAATAGGAATCTATGTGAACTCTAACTCAAAATCGAGACGACAACAAGACATAAAATCCGTGCTACGCCTTAGAATTACCGTATTGTTAACACTGTGATAGATCCAACTCTTCGCCCTACGCTCTGCATATCTGGTTGAATAAGTATTAGGAAACGCGTACTAGTCACTGAACTACACTGTTAGAACACAAAACAATATTCAGTCTTATAATGAAAATAAATTAAATAGATAGTGACAACAAAGAGTTCTCATAATCAATATTTTATATAATAGACAAATTAGAAATCCTGCGTTCCCAAAATATTTGTTCATAATAAGACGACCAGATTGTTAAGTAACAAACTTACTTGATTAAAAAGCAACATATAAAGGTTTGTGAGTTTTAAAGAACAATGCCGATAGCAGTATCAAGAAGCTTCTCAGTATAAATGACTTACACCACGATAATATCAGCACAAAAATCAGTAATAATGGATAAGTACAAGTTTGTCACATATCATGCGACGGTAAGAGGTAGGTATTAACCTCCTTAAATTCAAGTGCTTAAATCGTTGAACCATATGTCTTCAAATGAGAAATAATGTAACTACTATAAAAATATCTCCAAAGTAAACTATAAATGCTTACCACACTGTAATAACAATAACTATTTTATCAAAGGCTGTTTTAAAAAGTCAAAAAGAATTAAACTTGACTTGAACACACTATGTTACACAAGATAGAATTCTTTCGCATATTCTGGTTATATTTACACCTTCTTAACCATTGAATACAAATTAGAAAGTCACTTGAGTAACATCAAGATTATTAGTTAATTTTATTGAATTTAAATATACAGAGAGATTAATTTCAAGTTAATATTTCATTTTTATTTTCATTATTTTATGAGCCTTGAGTAAAAACACCTCACCTGAAAGTAATGAGTCTCTATTCATGTTTGGTTTAACACCAGATTAGTCGAAAACTGGACATTGTTTTAACTACAGTCTCGAATCATCAATACAATGTATCTGTGGAACATATCTCAAATTACTGAAGTTTTGAAGATATCTTACATATGAACTTCAACAATCCTATGAAATTAAGTCAAACGTCTTTTACTACTTCTCTCAAATTATAGATACAGACAGTTTTAATATCAATAGCTGAAATCCACGTTCACAAGAAATTTACAAAAGAATAGATTCCATTTGTAAAAGGATATTGAGCCTAAAAATACTTACTTTTTCATTTAAAAATCCTATACGAATAACTATAACTTGTTCATAAGAAAACTTTTCCCCATCATCAATCATCTTAGCATCATTAGTTGAGTCACCAATAAGTAGAATACAAATTCTTTTCGACAGAATGGTTTCAAAATATTCAGAATTTTGTATTACATTATACATTTTATTAAGAGAATGGATAACAGGATCTTGAAATCCAACCAAACGACCCTAAAACAATACATTTACAGGTATCTTAACATTAAAAGACGATGTGATTCATAGAGACTAAAATATATAAATTATTAAATAGTAAAAGAGGACATCAAAACGACAATACTACTTTCAAACTATGCTGGAAAAAAAGGTTCCTGTACAGTTTATAAAAATAAGGATTGAATCGCTAGTATGAAAAGAGACAAATTTTGAATCAACGATGTATTAGGGATCTAAAACCCCGTAGAAATTTGTAACTATAAGAAAAGTTTGTTATAATCACAACACTTACTGTTGTTTGTAACTATAACATCACTCCAGTAACATGGTCGTGTACATAAAGGTTACAATGATGTACAGTTTAAGTACAAGAGTAATAAATCATCATTTTTGAAAACAATCACTATGCAAATAAAGTTTAAAACATGTCTGTTAACAAGAAAAGTTGTGGTTTAAAAACGTCAAAATATCCGAGGCAAGAATTCCTACTTGCTAGCTACACTTGTTAATTAGATAACAGTACTTTATGACGAGTTCAAATCTACAAACTGGATATTACTAAGGTATGGTAAAACCTAACTTGTTTTACTGCAGTGGGTCAAATGGACTAGACCTCGAATAAATGTAACGGATTCAGAAAATCAGGGTAGGAGATACGCTTCAAATGTGAGAGTTAATGATCCTGCCCAGTTTCTCAAAGCGGCATTGGTGTGGTGGCTTTCGAGCCTGGAAATTTCAGCTGTTACTGAAGGAGTCTAATGTAGTGCTCTTTTTTCTACAGATGTAGGATGTATTTATTATTTATTTAAACACATAAACATAGGTACAAGAAGACACCAAATAGATATGCGCCACACAAATCATTCGATTTACGTGAGGGCTAGGATAATGCCCAGATGCCCAAACCAAAGCAGGTGGTTTTTTAGGGGGCCGCACCCGGAGCCTTCGACCTAAAGGTCTAATCCACAAGGTAGTGGAGCAACGTAAGGAGATGCAGTTGCATAGTAGTCGGTGACCAACGACTGGTTCATACGCTATTTGTTCCTTTAGGATACTGAAGCTCATGTGCACCACTGGTTTGGAATCAGGGTTTTCCAACTTTCATATGTGAACCCTCCGTGTCCACCAACTCGGTTAAAGCGCCAGACACTCACTCTTCGTCCTCTAAATTTCGTAAACAATACCCCCGCCGCGAGAAGGCAGTGAGTAGGACTTTACTGGCAGTGGTTGTATGCACGTGGCTATGTGAGAGCATTTCGGTCGTACCAGGGCATTTGGGGGCAGATGTGGGATGTGATTGTTATTGTTGAATAAGATAAAGAAACTCTAACCAATCCTAGGTAATCAAGTCCAACTGTTTGCAGAAGTTGGGGGCCAGGATAACTGCATTAGTACTTTGTGTCATTACAATACTTAGCATTTGTTATATCCTAATAAAGATTAAATTACGGGTAACTTCTGAGAACTATTAATGGACTAATATTATACATATTCCTATTGTATAACTGTTCAGCAGCTAGATTATGTATATCTATATTCCTCTTATTATAAGTTCCATTTTGACCTATAGATCATTATTATACGATTTACTGTTCTTAAGTTATGTTCAGTTCATTGATTACAGTCTCCCATGTTCACAGTCACTCTTTAGCTTGATCTTGTATAAATATTATTTCCTATTTTATGGTGTGATGAGGTCTGTTAGGCTGGTATATAAACCAAGTGTGTTTGGAATAAACGCTCTGCACAGTGGAAGTCGTTAGTGGCGTTCTGGACTCAACTGGACGGGCTAGGCGAACAAAGGACCAATAGAGACGCTAGACTGCTCATACCGATCGAACGTCATTGTTCTAGAACAGTACTAATATTGAATAAGTCGTATTTCGATTAGCGGATAAATCAACCGATAACTAGCTGGCCTTAAAAACAGAAGAGCATCTATTGACAGAATCCGAACTTTTGAAGGATGAAATAAGTGAGAAACCAGTAGAAACTGTTTAGATTGTTCCAAGAAACAGTTCGTCCACTATCTAATCCTTTATTCACGCAGCTTCTCCTCTTGATAATAATCTCCCAAACTGTTGGGGACGATAGATCCTCAAAACTCATATTTTGTAATTTCATCTTATCGATTAAATGTTAAATATTTGAATGGATGTCGATTGATGAACTTATTGATTAATGTTTAAAAACATTTTACTATGACAATATCGATTATAAATATTTGTATAAATACGCTTGACTTGTGTGCTTGACCTGACCTGGTATCTGCTGTTTGCCTGTAAAATACACTTCCTACGCCTTACAAAGACTTCTTGATCGCGTTTAGCTGAGTCGGGGACAACGGACCAGAATAGTCTATCGAGATTCTGAATCCCTTGATCCGATCGATAAGTCACTGCCCTCTAATCGGCGGTCCTTTGAGATATAACACAAACACCGTATGTATTGGAGATTAATAAAACATACTGTATATCTACGATTGTCTAAATAAGTAGAGAGGTAACTAAACCCTTATATACCTAGATAGCTTCAAGTTCACTTACCAGCCAATTGTGTTAGATTATCAAGGGGTAATCAGACAACACTAATTATAAAACCTATCAAAAGAATATTAATCCTTACTTCAGGATTGAAGTCCATAAAATTTGAAACAACACGAACATTTTCCAAGGATACACCTGACGATGTCAGAACTGTTTCTATAACATTTCCTATGCCTCCAGAGAATACAATTAGTGGTATGCTGAGTTCAGCCAACTTATTTACAAAATCAGTTGCATTATTCCTAAAATTAGTGTTGCGGTTAAAATTGGACAAAAGAATGAAATTTAAAGAATACATAAATAAGCAAATTTAAGAATAATCAAATTGAAAGCAATCTGAACTTTAATATACTAGTTAACGTCTGGATCATTTAAAACTTGGAAAACCGAACAACGAATAAATTAACTAAAAAACAAACGTGATATTGTATGCTTGAGAAAGTATTTATTTCGCGATGTGTTTGAGAACATAATTCCACAAACCAAAACACCATAGTTCTTAAACATCCCATCGAATGAAAATGTTCAATTAGATAATGAAATGACGCCTCAGTTGACCAAATAGTATCTCTGAATATTAAGTTGTAAATCTAACTTGTTTATCTATTTATTTATTTTAACACAAAGATATTGGTACAAGGAGGCACCAAATACATATGCGCCACACAAATCTCATTCGATATGTGTGAGGGCTGTGATACTGCCGGGTGCCCAAACCGAAGCAGGTGGTTTTCTGAGGGGGCCACTCCCCTAACTAGTAATGAAAAGTGTGCACAGAGAACATCATATTTTTAGTAAAGCTTAATTAAGAATCTAGTTGGGTATGAAAATCAACTATCAGTATACTGACATACCGAATTCCAAAAGTAAAATTTGTCTCAGAACTTGCTTTAAGATAATCAAGGTAACACAAATAGAGTTTCGCAATATTCTAACCCAACGGACAAACATTTTAGTCCCCGAATTTATTCACTTTTCGTCATTGTATGTCATATTTGTAGTTGATTTTAAGTTTCAATTACTCTTGTAAATTATTCCGTTTATATTTTTACCTTGCAGTATAGCAACCTAAGCAGATGCACTGTTAACTGATTTCTTTGAACGCGAAATTGATGTGGATAGAAAAGTATGTTTTTGTAAGACTATAATATACTGTCAGTGTACTATTACTTTGGTTTAAAGGTTGATAAGAAAAATGAAGCAGCAAGCTACTCTTTTTATTTACACGATCAAGATATTCTCTGAAATTAATACCGATATCTTCTAAGTTAGATGTTAGTTCTATACGTTACTTTGATTCAAACAATGTCAGTTACTGTGAAGAATACTGTAACTAAATTATTCGTAGTACAACATCGCAATTTGTCAACAGATTTATTGTCAACATAAAAGGATAGGTACTTACTGTACGTTTAAAGGGTTACTTTTTAACATCAAACCGAATAAATCCCAAGATGGACTAAAATAAATGCACTTCTTAGATTAAAAATATCAACTTAACTAACGTTTAGGTCAGTTTTTAAATTGGCAGCCTCTTAGTTCATCGACAACTCGAATGGATCAACGACTTCGGTACAATATTCTGAGGCTTTTTGATAAATGTTTCAATCAAGACTGACATGAATAAAACCCCATACATGTTTGTGCTTAAAACAGAGATTTATAGCTACGGTATGAATGTTAAATACCACAGCCAACGTTTTTAAGATACTACTAGTCAGAATACAGTAAGTTACAAATGCTTGGAATGTAAAATAGTTATCTTTACTTTTTTGACAAAGAATATCCATGAGAATTCGAACACAGTATCTGGCTTTAATCTTCTAGCTCTTTAGGATCAAGGAGAAATTTGACGGAGTTTAATTATATCAACCAAGAAAAAAATAGTATTTATGTGAATGAATAAGTCTTTTATTGGGAGGGGCGTGCAGATGCAAGGAAAGAGTATATGAGCGAACTATTACATCAAGACGCAACGAATGGAGCGGGTACTGACTTTTATCTTGAGAAATAATACTTTTGAAAGCCCACTCAATATACGTGCTAATAAACGTTTTAGTCAAATGAATAGAGGTCAGAAATATCTAGTGAGTTGCGTAATATATATAAATTCTTGTGAGCACTTAAAAAAATATAGATGCACAACTGACTTTTGTGACAACTTAAACGACACTTTTATGTTCATATTTTATTTCATTCAAGCTATTGTTAAACTGATTGTAAGACCTTAATTACTTTCAGTCATCTGTGTCATTAAGAAATTACATTAACTAATGCAGCACCTTCTGCTTGAATGAATTTAGGCAAATTAGATGACTTATACGAATATTCGTCAATATCTGAACGAACAGTTTGGTAGAAATTGAGCGCCAAGTATATAAAATATATTATTTGTAAAAATTACATTTGAAATAATCTAAGAATTTAAAAATTAAATAATCCCAGCATTACGTCCAGAAACCTTACCTGAACGTCGTCACGGTAATAATTAATATCAAAATTATCAAAAAAATATAACGTCTGACAACCAAACCTAAACTAACAATTTATCAAGACATTGATTTTGTTCGGTAGGAAAATATGAATTAGCAAGATGTGAATAATGTGGAAAGTTATAAATGTGAAAAAGAGTGAATGTGTGTATGTGTACCTTTCTGTTATTTGGTTTAAAGGTTGATAAGAAAAATGAAGCAGCAAGCTACTCTTTTTATTTACACGATCAAGATATTCTCTGAAATTAATACCGATATCTTCTGTTATTACTATTAAATATTTGATAAATCCAACACTTTCCTATAATTAAAGATAGGTTATTCATTTTGTGTATTAAAATAAAAGTAACAATACAAATTGAAGTGCTTTTGAACGTCAGTGTGTATATAACACGGGAATAACTAGATACTTAGTTGTGATGTTAAAGCATACATATTAACTTTTGTCAGAATAAAGCTACATGTGACATAATTAAGGTAGATAGAGATAAGGTCCAGTTACTCGTTAATAAACATTGGTTAAGAGCTGACTAACTAAATTTCATCGTTCTTGTTCAGGTTGTTTTTTTGTTGTTGATTAAACGGCTACTTATGGAAATCTATTGAACGCTGAGTTAAGTGTATACAATGTCTACTACAGAACTCTGATGTAGGGCAAGAGCGCAAAATATGACGGTGATGCAAACCATTTTAACCAAATACCGTTGGCCAAAGTGTTTTAGTTCTTTACACTACTTAGGACTATGCTCATTCATAAACACAGCCACTATCTGAATTCAACAAACAACGGATGTACTACTACCACTACTATAGTGATTACAAATGTGTATAAGCAGATTTAGGTTCACACGATCAGTTCTCGGAAGATATTGTATTAATTACTATGACAAGTGTTACTGGGTAGTGGATGTACCAATCTACTGAAAATGAAGAAATCCTTCTTAAAAAGCACTCGACCAAATGCACAGTGGATACGTTAGTTATCAAATGACTAATCTATTTGTTAATTATAAGTTTTTAAATATCTTATATGTTTTCGCGTATGTAGTGTCGAAACCTACTCCTACGAGCACACACTTGCGTCCAACAGTGTGAAATAGTGATAAAAACACGTTAAAAGTCAGGACCGACCTTAGAACTATTCCACCTTCCAAAACACAACCATCAATATCACTTCGAGATACATTCCCGTCAACCAATGCTTTATGGGCCAATTTCCAAAATTCCATCATGAGTGACAACTTCTCGCACTCATATATGCCGCAAGACGTTTCAAGCGGTAAATAAAGGTCCAGAAGCTCTTTGAGCTAGGAAAATAAAAATTGAAGACCTACTTACCCGTAATCTAGATATCTCAGGAATTCTAGGATTTTTCATGAACAATTCTTCCATGTTTACTGTATTATCTCAAACAAACAAGAGTTACCATGACAAACAGGAACCTTCTCAGAATTGTGAATGTATTTGGACAATGTGTGATCAAAATCACAAACAACCTCACATTAATATTTACAGAGATTCTTACTTGCATATTCTCCGGTCCATAACGTATGAAATCTACTAGTTTATTCACTATTCTGGGACTAACATGGATCAGACGATGATCTTCAAACTATACGCAGAATATGAAATTATAAGGTTACCATGGATCCTAACGCATTGTAAATATGACTCGCAAGGACATTGCAACCGCATCTGTCCTCCAAGGTCATGAGTTTGGAAGACTGCGAAGGCCATATGTAGTTGTGTGAACTACTAAAAAGACAGTGGAGACGAAATGGTACATGACATCCATCAATCTCATGGTGTTATTCTAAATCTCCTCAGATTATCTTGTATTCTTTTAATTTTTATGGTTTCGTCAATTTATCGTGATTCTTAACAGGTTGATTCAGGTATATCTTGTTCATAGGTTCAGTTTCAGTTTGGAAAGCACATGAGGTAAGATGACCTGTAATAGTCATGACAGTGGTGGTCTCTCAGTTGACCTAACTTTCTTTTGAAAGAGTCGTTACTCGTCACGTTGTTTCAGGTATGAATGAACAGTTGGTGTTTCGGGGCCCTCCGCCTGGACACTGTGGGTGGTCACACAGATAGCGACGAATGCTACCCAGTCGGATCTTCTTGTTTCAGCTTCTTGAGATAAATCTCTCACTGTTTGGGACTTAAGGCGAGAGTCTGGTGAATATGGAGTACCTGTAAGGTCTTTACATGGACAAAATCATTTTGTCAGTGACGTGGTTATGTCATCCGATGGGTTATATGCTGTATCAGGGTTGTGGGATAGCACGTGAATAACATGTAATGAATTCCTTACGCTGATAATTCGATGGGAAAGTTGATAGTCACCTGACGATAGTTTGCTCTGGGCTTGTGAACATTCTTGGAGTTTCTTCGTAAATTCTCTGTTTTGGAAAGCAAGTGCGAGTTTATCACAAATTGATCTGAAAACTGTAATTAGTTACATCCAGTTCTTCGAGATGACAGTGGAAATAGGTTTGGTTTGGCCAGTCGAGTATCATATGGGAGCATTTCTATTTTCGAAATCGACTTAATTACTGTTCTCTCGACTTTTCCAAAAGCTCACTGTCATTGTTTGAGAAGAGGCTAGCCACATATATACAGTATTCAAGTTAAGGACGCACTAACATTGTATATAAAGTCGAAAAAGTTTTAGTGTCGACATAAATAAAAGATGTCAAAGTAGGTTAGCATTGACTTGGTGGACATAACCTATTCTTCTGCTGACATGTTCACACCACTCAATCTAGTACATGCTAATATTGGCCTAACAGTCTGAGTTACGTTTGGAGTTGCACAATAACCGACTGGTGACATGGTCAAAATTCGGTCTCAGTAGTAAGGTTGAAGTTATTCTTAATATATTTTGAAATGTTTAGATGAGTATCATTTCATGCTTGTAATTCTTGAATCTATTCTTGTGCAATAACATTTCCGACTGATCTAATATTCCCCATCCAACGTTCATTATTCCGTTGATTTCCTATCACTGTGCTTATCTAAGCTGTTGCAACATTGGTTGACTCTCATTCGTGCAACTTTCTACGTCAATGATCACCGAATTACTAGCTTGAATTTCACTCTAAGAAGACGTGAAGCATAAAGTGTGAGGGTCATAAATGTTTAATTAATAATGAGTAGTTTGTTAAATATTATCTAATAAAAGTTGATTGAGTGGTAATCTGTGTGCATCACTGATTCGCCATTAGTATCGTGGTTATTAACTTCAGTAATGCTAGTGTTGCTCTTAATTTTGTTAAAATTGGTTAACGGTTACTCATCTTGTCACGTTTGTCTTATCATTTTACATTATGTTATGTATTTCAATCGAAGCTATTGTATTAAAAACCCAAACTGATGGATGGTACTTGAATGATATTTCAGATCCCAACAAAATCACCAACATTTTATCTTATTTAAAGTAAGCATCCATGTAATCCCGTGGAAGTATGTCACTTAATTAAACATCACTGATCAGCCTCAAGTAATAGAAAAACAGAACTACTAGTGCTGAACATCATACTTGTTAAGAGACCATGGGTCCTTTGATTTATTATGATAATTAAGAGTATTTGAATTTTAGTACGAACTAGGAATCCCAGAAATAACGCTATTTTGACAAAGAATAACTGGGTGAGCACGAACGTACGTATTGTATTCGCGATTCGAATTCAGTCAGTCATAAACTACAAATGAATCGTCAGTTCATTCAATTACCATATCCGCCAAAGCTTAAATTGGAGTCTCAGTGTCTGTAACCGATTGGATGTCTTCTCCTTAAGTTCATCATATATCTGTTCGACAGTGTGCTGGATGTAGATTCTGTATTATCTAGATTGTACTCGTTAGTATTGAAATTAACAACAGGAATTGAAACAGACTCACACGGTTCTTGTATTTGATCTACATGTCGGTTGTGTTTATTGAAATCATTAATATCGAGAATTCACACAGTAGATTTCCCGACATTCTTCAGCACAATCCCCGTCGCTGGTCGAAGATCATTTCCACGATAATGTGTACCTTCTCCAGACACTTAACACTTCATATTCGAACGAAGAGTGTTTCCTCTTAACAGCTTTGGTGAAGTCTTATTCGTTAGAGGATGTTTAGCATTTCCGTGCTGCAGTAGAAATGCATCTACTTCCCTCTCCAGTTTATTAAATGTTGAGGTGGCAATAGAATCAATGTCAGCTTTCAATGTCCTGACAAACATTTCTGCCTGGCCATTAGAATAAGGGTGACTAGGAGCAGTAAACAGATGTCTGCACCCTATACAATTCAATCATGTAGTGACTGCATCTGCAGCAAAACGAGAGTCATCATCAATCACTAACACCATGGGAACCCCTCCTCGACTAAACGCCTTTCATAATCCTCAGATTGTGAAGTCAGAATTTGGTGAAGTTGTGAAAAATCTTCAGGCGATTTCGAACAAGAATCAATGACTGTAAGTGCATAATATTTGCAAAGAAATGAACTGCAATGGTCTGCATGAATTCTCTGTCAGGCCTCGAACAATACTGGCCATTGAGTACACTTTGAAAACTGACCTTTCAACTTACGATATTTCACACAATTGTTTGTTGTACGACATATGTCTGCAGTTATCGCCAGTTCTCAGCGTGTGAGCCTTGTCAAGGACTTGATATTCGCGACACCCAAATGGCCGCATTGAAGATCTTCAAGGATAGATTTACTCAATGAATCATGAATAACAACATGACCACTTGAACACAAAATACCATCAGGAGTAGTGGATAGATCATCTCCTTTTGAAAAATAGACAGGAAATCTATGCTTAAAATTGGCATTCCAACATTCCCGTATGGTAATGAGTATATATCCAAAGTATTACCGAGTTTTTCCAATGAGCTCTGGACGTCATAACGGTATGGTTTGCACTAAACATGAGTCTGAAGTATTGAAAGGTCTGTCATGTAGTGCTCGTCGAGATATACAGTCAATATGTTGAATTTTTTGGCACTTCTCTACCGAATCGAATGGCCATTGACGCCCACAGCACTACTCCATCGTTGAACCATCCCGGCTGAGGAAAGTGATAAGGATTTTTCATGATAGTAAATAAACTCTAAAGCTTTCTGTTCCTTAAAAATAGCGAATTTCCTTCCGAATAAATATTTGTGAAGTTTTTAACGCTTCAAAATAAATATAATGCTTCTCGTTGAGTTTGTGAATAACCTTGTTCAGTGATAGTACGTTTGTGTGAAACACAGATAACTGGTTTACCCCTCTGCTTCAAAACTGTACTAATACCCACAGTTGATGCATCAGTAATAAGCACATGATTTGAACTATGTGATTAGTAAGTTTGAAGAACAGCATCACTTTGAAGATGTTGGGGACGGTATATCCCCAAAATTCATATTTGCAATTTTATCATATCGATTAACTTATCGATTAAATGTTTAGGTATTTGAATGAAGTCAAATGATGAACTCATCGATTAAATATTTGAATGCCTGTCGATCGATGAACTTAATGAGTCATGTTTAAAAAAACATTTCACTGTGACAAAATCAATTATATATATTTGTATATATACGTTTCAAATTGTTTTTGTGTGCTCTCTCGTTTCTGGCTGTTTGCAGAATATATTTTCCATACCAAGCTTGGACTTCTCCTTCTAGATAGCGGGGCTGGGACGCATCAATAGCTAGATTACTGGTCTTTGGTCACTGAGTCTTGTTCTCGTTCGCAGATTAAGTGAACGCGTGAAGCTTCAAACCTAACAGAAGAAACGTTACTGGACTTCGCAAGCATGACTCTTGTTCCTCACCCCATTTAAATGAATTCGTTGTCAAAATAATAAATAAACAATTGACACGACAAGAAATATCAGGAATAAAACGGGAATAGTATTGAAGAGTACCTACCAGTGAACGTAGTTCTGTAAGATTGTTTGGAGACGGTGCATTTGTCAGTGGAGCTAGCTGTTTCGTATCTGGGTTAAAACCATTACTATCAACTAGGTATCCAAGACTTTTGGAACTAAACACACAAAATGAACACTTATTTGTATTCACCGTAACATTCTTCTCAATTAAAGAACGCAATAAATCAATAGATCTCTAGTCATGAACTACCCCATCAGAACCATGAACAATGAGATCATCTTGATAAACTTCAACGCTTTCAGGATCACTAACTACCTTATTCATAACTTCCTGAAATATGGCTGGAGAACCACTTAGACCAAATGGAAGGAAATTGTATTTGAGCAAGCCAGAAGGAGTGTTAATTGTCGTCAAAATAGATGACGGTTGATCTAGAGGGATCTGAAGATAAGCTTCTTTCAAGTCAACTTTCGAGAACACTTTAGAACAATGAAGTCCATTTAGAATATCTTCAGCCTCTACTATCGTGCACGTTTGCTTCAACAAACAGGAGTTCAATGTTTATCTATAGTCACCACATATTCTAGGGGTCTTGCCATCCGACTTCAGTGGCGTAACAATAGAAGTATCACATGCTGAAGACTGAATCAACCCGATTATATCTTTTGCTCAAAAATCGTGTAATATCTTATGTACTGCTTCTCGAAGATCATAAGGAATTATTCGTCTTTTAAGAAAGACTGGATCACTCCGTACTTGAAGTTTTATAGGCTGAATTCTCACACCTCTACTGTACTTGGCACAAGCAGATATCAAATCTTTAAGTAACGCATCAGACGTTTATTCAGAAACCAGCAAAGCCAAC